AACATAATAATGTCAGAAACCAACATAATCACCACCACCGTAAAAACTTGTTACAGTCACAGAGCTGAAATATTAATTTAACAAGGATGCAACTTCGCTGTAACCACTCAACGATTTATTTATTTATTTATTTTGTTTTAAAAGAAAATTAGGGAAAGATTTTGTATTGGTACGAACCAACAGTAACAAATTTCCATTGAGTTCTGTTTGATGGTTCATATGTCGTCTTCTTCAAATATTAATAGTTAAACATATTTCTTCGACTAAAAAATAAAATAAAATAAACTCTCAACTTTTAATACGATGGATAACAAACGTAATGTCATGTCATTTTCTCAATTTTCACCAATCACAAATGCAGTCGGCAAATTTGCATTGGCTGATAAATTTTATTTCAATTAATATTAGCACTTTATTTTTCTTCTGGTATAGGCCATTTATGAAATTTATCACAAGTATTTTTCGGGACCAAACGCGAAGTCCAATCACTGTCTCATGTGTACTCAAATCACAACATGCAATATTAATCTATATTTTGTTGAGAATGATTTCATACGTACAGAAAGCATATAATAATCCTATGGGGTACACTATTTAATCATATTCCAAGATTCAAATTTTCGTGGACTTTATAAAGTCAAATAGCTTACACGCAGACAGCATAGGCAAATTGTCAGCATCATTAGAAATTCTAGTATTTAATTAGTATAGGGCTATTGGAAAAACAAAAGGATATATGCATCATTTCTTTGTTCTATATGCTCTTTTTCTTAAAAAAATAATTTATTATTCGAAATTAAAATTATAGGATAAATTAAATTTTATTTTGCCTTTTTGGAATAAGTGGGAGTATATATATATATACAACCTTTGCCGTGCTCTTTTCTTTTGAGTTTAAAATAAATTAATTAATGTGTATTTAGATTTTTAAATGTGATATATATCCACTCAAATTTTTCTTAAGAATAACTTACAAGGAATCATGAAATATAAATTTTGGTGGTTTTGATTTTATCAACGTCATTCACTATAAATTTTTTCTGTAATTGTTGTTTATGTTGTCTTGAGTAATGAACACTAGCATGCATGGATCATATAAGGCTGACGAATTACGTGTAAAGTTCTTTGAAAATTATGATCGTGACGTGTTAACTTAACAATCTCTCTAGCTAGTTGTGGAGTTTTGAAAGCAATAGAAAGAAACTAATGAAAAAGAAAAGAGGATAAATTACAAAAACGGTGGGCTGATCCTGGAAACTAGATTTGCTTCTTTTTACTAAAAGAAGATTAAAATCAAATGAAACCAAGATGATGAAAGTCTTCCTCTGCCCATTTGGGGAGTTTCTACTTTTAAGTTTACCAAAATGAAAATAAATGGAATTCAGATTTTAAAATAAAAAAAAGGGTACGTATTAATAACTTTAATAAATGCAAAATGTAATATTAGTCTATGTTCAGATTTATTTTTTAAACGTACGGAGTTTTATTTTGTGCGATATTCAGCATATGTATAACATAAATATTTATTTAATTAGAATGTATATTTTTCTTTATTAATTTGTGGGGATTTGGAAGAGTCAAGAATGATATTAAGGTTCTTCTGTATTTATAGACTGACTGGAAATGTCAATAATGCATGCATTACAACATTAGTGACGAAACGAGTAGTGTGCTATCAAGTACTTCCTTTGTTGTAAATGATTATTTGGGATGGTAATATTACCAGTACAATCATTTCGAAACGGTAGTAGTGAAATTCATAATTAAATGATTATCCTTCAAACTAATTAATATAATGGTGCAGAAATGGCAGTTAAAAAATGTGTGATACAGATTAAAGAATTTCTCTTTCGAGTGTCTTTGCCAGTGAAAAGAGTGTCCAACCGGATTTGAATAAAAGAATATGTATTGACAGTCATCACCAGATTAATCTGCCTCATTAACCCGTAGAATTACAATGACAACGTTGTTTTTGTTGTCTAAAGGAATTAAAAAAAAATAGTTCTCATTAGAAATTATAAATTGCATCGAAAATACTATTGTGTATAATTTACTATATAAATTACTTTTCTAAGATAGATAGATTATTAACGACAAAATAATTAACGATAAGAATGCAGCACCAGGTGATTTTATGTTTGGTACGAGAAAAGAATAAATTAATAACATTAAGGATACAGTACTAGATGATTTTATGTTGTATTCCCTCCCAGTCTTAGTATAACTCATTTTGATTTATCAATAGTTTAATAATTTAGTATGTCTTTTTAATTAAAAGAAAATTTTAAAAATATATTTGCACATTCATTTTATTCCCTTAATTATTAAAAAATATTTTTAAAATTTTATTTCAATTAAAAATATATATTAAGTAAAATTTATGAAAAATCAAAATTGACATTCATAAGGACCGGAGGGAATATGTTATATTTTTGTGAATTATTATAGTATAAAGTTTTATTTAAAAAAGAAAAAAGAGAAAAAGTGAGTTGTGAGTTGGGCACGCAAATTTGATTTTTTTTTTTTTGAGACCGCACCTAATGGTACTTTAGAGGTACCTAGGCTATTACAATGGAGAGCTTGGGAAAGGGGATAATACTACTAGGGGGAGACTCCACTTGCGTGCGCCTCTTGCTCGACGTGTCCAGTCCTCCGTGAGCCGATGATGACAAGCCTCCTGCCTGCTTAAGCTGACTGCTAGTCAGTTACCTGTTTCCTCTTTTAGCTGCCTGTTTTCCACGTCTGCGGTAAGAATCGAACCTTCACTCTCGCGGTTAAAGGTATAACGCCCTAATCACTTAGGCACGACTCGATTCCTATGCAAATTTGACTTCAAATTGAGTTTTGTGCTTTTTACGATACACTGAATGTCTGAATTCGTGGGAAAAGGATATTTAAATGGTTGACATCCAATATCAATAAAAAAACATTCATCACATTAATGTCCATTAATCGATTGACAATTTGTCACTGGATTGACTGGACACCTCAAAGATGAAATTGGATAAAGACTTCAACAGTGTCTCCGTTTTGGGAGAAAGCCACGTCTCTTACGCTTGGAGTCCTGTGATGCTTTACCATATATGATAGCGAGCGAAACCAATTCACTAGTCACTGGTGAAAGATTCTACGACCTAATGTTTAAACTGGTGTGCCACTCGATTCATGCAAACAACAATAATGTTTCAAGTTGTTCTTTCCACAAAATGAAATTTGTCTTGTCTATTTGCCGTTGGAGATTGATTCAAAGTAGATTTGGTTAATTATTTAGTTGTTTAGATTATCTTGATTTTTATGTTTTTTAGTTTCAGTAAAGGTGGGATTCGATTCCTATTTTTTCTCTTTATAGTTATTTTGTAAAGGATATTTAAAGACAATTGATTTTTTAGTTTTAATTAATAAACAAAGTAACTAGTTTTTATCAGACTTCTCTCTTCTCTTCTTTAACGATGAACTCCATTTTTCTTTCTTTTTCTTCATTAAAAAATCCAACGTTTGCTACTTACTATACAAAGTGATTAGAAATTATGTAATTACTTGATTGTACCCCCCCCAAAAAAATTTAGTAGTACTTTTAGTTTTCTAATTTTTTCAGTGTTTTAATTTTTTCCTAGGAAAGTTGTGCGCATATACATCTCTTCTTCTCATTGAACTTATGAACTGATTAATATATTACGTACCTACTGTAAATATGAAAACCTCTGATCGATTAATTTATATATTCAAGCTAGATAGACTTTTTCAAAGAAAAAGAACGAAATGGTGGTTTGGAAATTTGGAACTCCACGTTGCCAACATTGTTTGGTCAAAACCAGGATTTACATGAGTTCTTCACGTAATTAGCGATCAATAATTTAAGCTAAGATTTGGCTTCATTGAGATAACTTTTTGGATAATTAAAATGATTGTGATATTGTCCATAATAGTAGTGCTTAATGACTTGTCATGTCATAATCAGCTAACCAAATAATAATATTGCCCAAAAGCAACAGAATCACCATTGCAGAAATTTGTTACTTTCATGTTCAACCCAAACAAGAATCCAACATCGTCGGTATCCTCCTTAAAAAAAATAGTCCATATTCAGTTTTGCACGTGGATTTTTTTTTTTTTTTTAAACAGAGAGTATAAAAAAATGTAAACGACCCTCTACTGCTGATTTCTCCACCCTCACTTTGGCCAATTGTTTTTGGTTTGTTCGGGTCTGATTGACCATTCTAATGGTCTCCGGTCGCGCGTATCTACCCAGCCGTGACACCTTTGATGCCGAACACGGTGGTCGCATAACTTGATTAGTAGCAATAAATTATATACTAATTGCTAAAAGCTCTTCTTGTAATGGGAGAAAAGAGGAACCTTACCTTTGACCTACAACCCCAAAATAAAAAACCCATAAAGCGGCTTAGAAAGTGTTTGAAGAATGAGAAGGAAGTACTGGATCGACGTAGTCAGCTCCCGAATGATACTCTTGTCTACGTTGTTTCTTTTGTTGACACTTGAAGATGCTGCCCGGACAGCTTATCCTGTCAAAACGCTGGAAACATCTTTGGTTGAATGTTGATAAACTTGATTTTCATTGCCCAAAAATGTGGGAAGGTATGGAAGGAACAGATGAGGCAAACACAAGCAATCGCAGAAAGTTTATGTTAATTGGGTAAACAAGGTTTTGGAATCTCGTGATGCCGCCGCTGCAGTAGTTTTGGATATGTTTAGAGTTCGCTTTGATTTGGACAAGTCATCAAAGGATGATATTGATAATTGGCTTCAGTATGCATTTGCGAAGAGAGTTCGGGAATAGATTTAAACTTGTTGACATATGGTGATAAGCATCGTATCACATCAGCTTATGATTTTCCTCGTACACTACTCATTGATGTTGATGTTGATCTACTGATGTATACTTTTCCAGTTAGAATGGTGGAAAAATATTGCAAGGATATGGAGAGAATCTAAGAGAGCTTTGGCTTTTCCTCTTCAACATCTTGAATTTGTTGAGTTATGCGGAAACCATGGGCGTATCCCTGAAGTTAAACTCATTGAGTACTTTGTAGCGAATGGTGTTGCCCTGGAGAGAATTACAATCGACCCTCGTGATCATCCGTTGTTTGGATCCCGTGTAGTTAAACCAAGGAAGAGAGAATTGCCAGAGTTCTTGCCAAACAACAGCTTCGGGAAATTGTACCTTCCCATGTTGACTTGGTGATTCTTTAGCTGGGAAAAGCAGCATCCATCATATGCTTTAAAGAGATACATGTCTGACTCTTATATCATCATCTTCGGCTATAGCATCATCGAAAGCGGCTAATATCCTGTCCTCTGCGCATTCAGCATGTGGTTCTGCAGTAAGTTTGCAGGCTTTGTAAGCTGCAATCCTCGCGGAGGGAACGGCTCCTCTCGCACTACCGTTTCCGATTCTATAAAAACTCGCGTTTTGCACAATGTTTCCTGCTGCTGTTGAGGCAACATGAGTGCCGTGACCATAGAAATCTCTAGTAGAGTCTTCTTCACTCACATAGTTTCGGGCTCCAATGAGTTTCCTGCATTGCAAACCAAAAAAAAGAAATATACTATACTAATAATGATAATGAATTAATGATAATTTAACAAAGTACTAATTGATGGTGCATGATTTAAGGAAAAAAAAAAGAAAAAAAGAGAGAAGATGGTTTACTTGTTGCAAGTGAAATTCTTGCCACCATCGCAAGCCCCCTTCCATTTCTTGGGTACAGGACCAAAGCCATGGTCATCAAAAGCTTGTAATTCCGGCCAAATACCCCAGTCAATGAACCCAATGACGATATGGCTTTCGACTTCAAGGTGGCGGTGGACACTTTGAGGGAAACTCATGAAGTCCCATGATGCAGTGGTGTGAAGCTTGTGAATATGACTTGGAAGAACCCGAACCACATCGTCGCGCCGGGCGATTTTTTCTTTCTCTCGGTCTGTGTGGTATGCGGAAAATCCATTGAAACTCCTTCCGTAGCTTCTAACCAAAGATTGCTCCACAAATTCGCTGTCAACTTCTTGGTTCAGTATAGTGCGATGGTGGGTTGAAGGTGAATAATCATGCCGAGTTTTCGGAAGCGATCCCATATACACTATGTAAACCTTCCGTTCTTCATTCCCAGGGTCACTACTAGAAACTCCATGAAAATAACAAATAACTAGCATAGCAAAAACAACATGAAAAATCCGAAGGAGCTGAAAAAGTACTGCTCTGTCCATTCTTGTGATCTGTTTTTTGTGTTCTTTATGGTGAATGATAGAACTCTGCTTCTCTGAGACTGTTAGGAGCTGTAGAAATTAGGCATGTAGGATTTCATTTTTTTGAATGTAATTAATTTTTTTTGGTACGGACGCAATGGAGATAATAAGAAGTAACGAAGACAAATCTGTTTAATTTTAATTTTTTTTATAGTACAAAATACAAATAAAGGAGTCGAAATAAGGCTTACAATTCTAATTATCGTAGCATGATTAATTCCAAATCAATAAAAACAAAAAATAATCCAAAAAAAGGGTGGTTCGAAGGACATCATACCGAAGTCGTACAATTAGGTCCGCTGCACGGAGAACTGCCTTCGGTCTCCCCAACTGATGTGCTGCTCTTTCGTTGAATCAAAATCTCTCTGCGTATCTTCTCAATGTCTATGTAATAGGTCTTCCTTCTTTATGACGAGTGCTTTGAGAGATATAAACTGTATATCGTATATTAATATTGATTCCTATAAATAAATTTCGAACTACCTTTTTTGTTGCTCTAATTCAATCGAATAGGAAACATTGCCCCAATGGACTTAAAAGTTTCCAAATAATTGATTGACCTGAATATGGACCGACAATTGTTATGGTCCCGTAAACCAGCCTCTTCACTTTAGTAACTCACCCTAATAAATATTCCTTGGAATTTTGGATCACAACTATGTAATTAGAGACATTCAGATTTCAGAGACCTCCCTTTTCTGAATAGAGTTTTGTATCATAGTGTCCCGAATACGAAAGCAAAAAAAATTAGTTGTACCCAATAGTGAACAAATGATAATTTTGTTCGTTTATTTAATTTATTTATTTTTTGTGTGTAATGAAAGAAAAACTTCTCAATAAATGAAGACTACCAATAGTATCTAGCCATTACTTACTCCATGTTGTTCATTTTCTAGGAACCTGTTGGTGATGACTGATGATACAATTAAACAAAGTAACTTCGTGGGGAGAACATATATAGAAAGTTGAGCTTAAAACAGTGAAATGACGTTCACCAAGTGAATGTCCAATGCCCATTTGATATATATATTACATTTCCTTTGAGAAACAAAGATGAAACAGGGAAAAAGACTCAAAACAGTTTCTCCGTTTTGGTAAAAAGCGTGTCTTATGAAGTTACTCTGTATTAGAAGTGGGAGCTTGAAGGGCAAGCGTTAAACCTTCACTAATCATGACCACATATAGAAATGGAATACTCATGAATATGATAATCACTTCTTTAGTACCAAAATTTATAATTTATTTTGACCCGAAATGATTATTCAGTTTGATTTTCACTCTTAGTCCTATTATTTCGTGTTCGCGTTTTGCATTTCATATGATTCATGCGATTCTTTAGATCATGTAATCTATAAATGTAATGAAATCACAAACCCTTATCCTGTTGAATTGTACCGATTCAGATATTTTAAATTTACAGAAATTTCACGTAAAAAATTGACATCTAATAATATCAATGAGATCTTTGTTGTTATGTTGTGAACTCAATGTGTTCCCGCGAAAAATAAAGCCCAAACACATGGTATGCCAATATTGCTTTCTTGTTTTGTAATCTGCGGTCCATTGTCTTCTGGATAGCCCCATTTGATGTCCATGCGAGAATAAACTAGCATTTGGAACCATGGTGTTTTGTACATTTGGGCTCAGTAAAGAAATTTATATTTTTAAAAGAAAAATAAGATTGAAAAAAATTAATACCAAAGGTTGTCAAAATAATATTGAGCTCCTAATACATGTACATCCTTATTGTCTGGATGCTTGTCGAATTGATGTTGTTTCCTTGTTGCTTTTAGGATTAGCAGTTGTTCAACAGAAGAAGAGAGTCATAATATATTGATCAGAACTTGAGTAACTTCAAGGTAACACGTAATTAATTAGCGAAAAGGGTATCATCTTACTATAAATTTTCTATATGCATTAGCCCCATCTTTTGTGAGTGTGTGTATGTGTTGAACTTCAACCCCTAAAAGTTTGATTTTGTTTTCTTAGAACAAGTAGGTGTCAATGGCCACAGTTTCCTCGTACATTTACGATTAAGTAATGATATTCTTCTCTACTTTTATAACTCTACTTATATAGATTCTAATTGGCGCATCCATATCATCTTCTAATTTTCAATAATATTTTATTAAAAAAAAAAACACCCATTGTTCTTCGTCAAATTTCTTCAGACGTCTCTCTCCTCAAGAATGACCCAAAATTATTATTTTTCATTACAAATCCTCACAATCCAAAATCAGACCTTCCTCCGAGCTGTGGTCGCTGAAACATCAAAGAGGCACAGAAAGGCAGCGATGATTCAAGAGGCAATTCGGTAAACAAGAGAGGAATGATGGTTAATTTGTCGTGGAAGCAGATTATTCAGTGGTTTCGGAGTATTTGCGGGACATATCATTCTGGGAAATTGCGAAACATACTCCCGGACATCCAATATTCCAAGATTCGATCGGAGTTGTGGGATAACCATCTTGGAACGGTGCGGATTATTTACTGGCATTTTCTATCAATTACACTTTGCTTTTGGGAATCTATAATGATTAAGGAGCATGTTAGCAATCAATCCTTCATGAATAATCTGCGGGATTTATAAAGAAACATAGTACCTTTCAATTCGCCTAAAATTGATGCGGCCTCGCATACCCTCACAAAAGTGGTGCCGCACCGTAAATGGGTTCCGTATGACAAAGATTGGCCCTTTATAGTAAAGTTTTCTGTCGATGGTAAAAACAAGAAGCTCAAAGAATTGGAATTGACAATAACAACGATGAATTTGACAAGGCTCTGGTCAAGGCAAAGCAATTTAAGGATGGGTGTTTTTTTTTTTTATCTTCATAAAATTTTAATGTAAATTTAGGAGGTGATGTGGATGTGCGATTGCCATGTCAATAGAGATATAAGTAGAGTTAAAAAAGTAGAGAACAATATCATTACTCCACGATTAATTACCTCACCGAATTTCTCAATGCATCTTATAATCTCTCATTTACATTTGTTGAAAAATCATTTCCACCAAAAAAAAAAAAAAAATCCATCTCATCTACTTATTCTTTTTTTCACGCTCCAAGTGAATTATACATAGGGTAAAAATTATTGTACCTTGTTATAATTTCGCTAACGTAATAATTACTTATCAATAAGAAAATCACAATAATCGTTCTAATGATGGAGCAAATTTCTTGGTCACACAATAATCGTAATAATTACCTTATCAAATTTCTCAATGCATCTTATAATCTCTCATTTTCATTTGTTGAAAAATCATTTCCACAAAAGAAAAAAAAACCATCTGAATTCTAATTATTCTTTTTTTTTTTTCACGCTCCAAGTGAATTATACATAGGGTAAAAATTATTGTAACTTGTTATAATTTCGCCAACGTAATAATTACTCATCGATAAGTAAATCACAATAATCCTTCTAATGATGGAGCAAATTTTGTTGGTCACACATATGTATAATTGAGGAGCTGGCATGGCAAGAGCTAGGCAGAAGTGATCGATATTATCAAGCAAAGTACGTAACATATTACATGGCATAAACTTGTATAACCTTCGATCGATAACATATATATTCTCGTACATAGGAGCATGCATCATGCATTTATACACACATACATGTAAATTGACGAAGCAATACATAACATATACGACCTCAAAATAACCCATCTTATAGAGCTCACTCGTAGAACCGAACCTTTGCGCCATTCAAAACTTACTACTTATAAGCTAAGTCTATGGAAACAAACTTATTACATATATATATAGTGAAACCAAGCGGAAGTTCATATGCTGCGGCTGGAACTATACATATAGATTATAGAGTTGATCAGTACTGATCCGAACCCGAACGGATTATATTAATCCCAAGATCATTCTTCGCCCTATCATGTTTCACCTGCCATGGCCTCTAAGTATGTTCATTTTCTAAAAATGAACATGTTTGTTTGCATATATACTGTGACATGGATGATCAGTTGGGGATGAGCTTGAAAGGGGGCTTTCCTAGTGCCGGCGCCGGATCATATCTTCCGTAATCTTTGGTGTTGACTTTGAGAAGCCTTTCATGAATTTCTACAATTTCCTCATGGCTTAATTGCTCCTTAGTTACCTCCTGCTTATATTACAAGATCAAGTATATAAATGTCAGAAAAGTTATAAATTTAATCTTTCTTTTTATTAAGATTTTCAAACTAAAAAACCCGCCAACAAAACCTAAAACCATGTTTTGTTAGCATGGAGCACAATTTTTCTTACTCATATTCTGTGAAAGCAAAACTCCACCAAAAGGAACTAATAGTGATCACAACATCGTGCATGACAGGCGTAAAGTTCTACAGATATGTCAAGCAAAAGTCTTCTCAATAGGAAAACTTTTGGCCTCTTTTTTTTTTTATGAGCTATGAAAATAAAATTTTCACCTTTCAATTTTCCAAGTACAAATTATATTTTACTCCATTCATCTCATTATAATAATCTACTTTGTTGAAACTCAGATAAAATAACAAAGTGAATGTTAAAATGCAACAACGGTATTATGACTTTTTCTTTAACTGAACAAGGATTTTGATATTACAATTTGTCAGCATTCTCGCCAACTTTCCCAACCCATTTCCTAGCTAATTTGTGGCATTGAAAGATTAACAAACCTCATGTTCAGCTGTTCGTCCTAATTGCTTCTGGAAGTTGCCCACAACCCTAGAATGTCGACCTGTTGGAACAAAGTTCATAGACGGTTTCAAAGTTCTATTTCTGTATCAGCAGGTCTAATTTATATACCTCAATCTTCTAGAGAAAAACTTCCACTTCTCAAGAAGATGTGTACTTACAAAAACGTACCTGCAAATGAACTAGTAGACAAAAGGGATGCAGAAATGAGGAGGAAGAGAAGACCAAACTTCTTCAACAGAAACATGAACCCCATTGTTGATGATGATCAAGCATGCAACTTTTATTAATCTCCCTCTCTCTAACCTCTTTTCTTTCTTAGCTCTCAAAGAAATATTATGGCACAAATGATAACTTCTTCTTTCTTTCTTTCTGTATTGAACAATTCTAAAGCAGTAGTACTACATGCATTAATTTATCTGTGAAGTTGCATGTTAAAGATAAGAGAAGCGAAAAAGCACTAGTTTTTAAATTTAGTCTAAAGAGCGCAATACCATCGATTTGTTATCATTACTTTTGTGTTTAAAATTTGGAAAGAAAAAGGTGAAAGGAGACCACTTTTCTTTTGTTGGGGCACTAAGGTCTACGTTTAGATAGTGGTTTAATTAATATATTCGATAAGTTTCATTATCTCAAAACAGCAAAACATGATATAATATGTGGAGAACTCTTGTATGGTTAATGATTTGATCATTAACCAAACAAATACATGTCACACTGTGCTGTGATTTGAATCCACTACCAACTTCTTCTCTAATCGTTCTAGTCACGCACTGATATTTTTTTGTTACCAAAAGTTTCTCTTTGTTGGTACTTTTGTTACCACGCAATTATAAGCCTCATCATATCCAAATGAAATGACCTTTTACCCTCATAATATAATTACTTCATGACCCGAAAAGAATACATTGTGTTTGTTGTATTATTTACATGTTATATAATGAGTTTTTAATGATGATGAAGCATGTAGTTTCACTAAAAGTATTAAGCTAAACTCTAGTTTATGTGAGCTAATTAGATGATAAGAGTTTTCATTGACAAAAAAACGTATAATAAGTTGGAGATTAGAGACATGATAAAATGAAAGGTTCTAAGAACCTGTGGTGATGCTTTCCTTATAGATCACCATTACAATCTAGTCCCCTATGATTATGATCAACTCGCACCAACTTCCAATCAAGTTAAATGAAACTAAAGCCATTTGTCAATCATCAATAATTGCAGTAAACTCGAACTTTGTGTCATCATCAATTTGATCACTTTTGCTAATAAATTTTATCTTTTTTTTATCTCATAAAAAATAATAATAATAAGTAAAATAAAATAATAAATATAATAAAATAATCTTTTTCTCCTAAAACATATAATTTAGATATGTACATCAGGGGATTGGGATGAGGAAAAGGGAAGAATGAAGGATCACAACTTTTGAATTTGAGTTGAATATTAGGAAGTGCCATACAGAAAGAAAAAAAAAATTAACGAAGATGAAAATATTTATAAGTGATGTGTATACTACTATTCATCATGCTCCTAAGAAAAGAGTAGTAACGTATAAAAGATATATCGCTTTTTTCACAATCATATCATTCTTCTAAACCTTTTCTTTTGAAGGAAATTTACCCCCAAAAAAAAAAAAAAGAAAAAACCTATTTCCACCATAGATGTGTGCCACTCGTCCCTCCCAAAATCAGCACGAATTTGCTACGGCCAAGGTATTGCTAGGATGCAACACAAATTAATTTATAGGCTCCCATCCCCATCACGGCCGCCTTAGTCACTTCCAATTTTATTTTCATAAATCCATCGGAATATTTTACAAGAAAAACCAAATTGCTGATATGGGATAGGCAAATAATTTACTACTATAGACTCCCTTCCTATCAAAATAAGGGTTACATTTCTTATACTATTTTAATTCAATATCTATAATTAGTTCTTATATGATGGAATGAGCCATTAATTAAGTGCTTCCAATAAGTGTAAAGAGATCCTAAGATAATGCACACAATTAGATGTAAATTGCTAAGAATTGAATGGTGATCAAGGATAGGTTTGGGTTTGGTGATGATCCCTAATGACTTATTGGTAAATGGTTTGTATAGGCTTTTGAATTAGGTTTGGGTATCTAGAAAAGGGTTTCTAAGCACAAATAGTGCTTTCAATTATCCCTAACGACAAAACACAACGCACCAAATCCCATTTGAAAGGACAGTGGTGGAAGACGCAAAAGCAGCACTTATGTCTTCCACAAATTACATTTATTTATTTATTGTATGCTTCTTCTCTTTTTCTTTAAAAAAGTACTTTCATTACAGCCCTTTTAATTAAAAATATTGTTAATCAAATCTCTTCCTACCTACTTATAATTACCGATGGTAATCACCCAAGTTTCTTTGTCTTTATTTACATTGTAGAAGGAAACTGTTAATCTCATTGCTTACGTAGATGTGTTGCAGCTTCAGGGATCTTACGAAAAATTGAAATTCGTTGGGAGTAACTTGCAATTAACTCAATGATCAAATGACAAAAGAAAAAAAAAAAGAAAAACAAAATTTGATCTTGAACCCCTGAAAAATCCACTTAAATCCTTATCATTAGAATCTAGCATTTTATGTTTAACCGTATTTATTTTCTTAGACATGTAAAATGTAACATCTAGTTGACCATTTTTTTCCTTGCAGGATGTTAGGGGGAAGCAGTGAATATTATCGACGGACTAGTATCGTACTAGTGACTTCTTTCCAAAAGCCATAATTATCATGTAAGTTAAGGTTTATTTTCACTCTGCAAATTGAAAGCATTTAACCTATTTTAATTTTTTTTTTTTGGAATAACCTATTTTAATATTGACTTTAGCTAGTTTTTTTTGGCTTCGGGCTTCGTGGATACATACTTGGGAACATATGTTTTACCCACATACTAGTAGTCTGGATCCTATGGAAGGACGACAGAAGTGTATCAATTTATCTAATAGTAATACCTTACCCAAAATTCAACATTGTATTCCTCGATGATGCAGCTGGAGATTTTGATTTTTTACCCTGTAAATTGACTCTTATTCGTCTTACCATGTTAGATAGTACATCCAATGTTGACAATGATAATAGTCACATAAGAGAATGAGACTAGTGTTATGAATAATATTATACTCTCTTTGTACTAAAATAATTTGTTCAGTTTGGGATTTTACCTTTAGTATATATAAATTACGCTAAAATGAAAAACCAAAACCGAAAATCATTTTGAGACGGTGAAATGGAGGGAATAACAAAAGTAACACAAAAGATCACAGGACGAATGAATAAACAATGTATCATGAATATATAACTTAATCTGTGAATCAAGATATCACTGTTCCCATTTTGGTCAAAACCTTGAAGAGCAATTTTACAATTTTCATCAATGCCCTGATCATATTTCTATACAAGTTTACACAGCAGTAAACACCAGTAGTGATTTACAATCTTTAACAAGCTCATGCTCTAAACAAAGTGTTTAGCCCTATGCGTTGTGCACAGTACCCTATATCCAGAATTTGGAAAGGAACATAACTTTTTCTTTGGGTCGCTAATGCTCTAAACAAACTCAACGAACAACATATCTGTACTCTATTCACATTATTCACATTACTTACTATATGCCTCAATAGTCACATCACATAAACGTATGAAATCACAGATTAGTAACTAGTATATCTTCCAGACAAATTCTTGAAGAACCTAATCATGTCATCATAAACATCTTTCTTTGAACTTACACTGAGGAGGAAGTCTATATGGCCATATTCCTCCAGGTAAAGTAACTCTGGCTTGCCTTTTAGTTCCTTCAGTGTGCGGCGAACATCGGTTACATCGGCTAAAGCATCGCTTCCACCATATCCCATCCATAACGGTATTGATTCAGGGATATTGCGAAGGTCAAATCTTGGGGGTTGAAAACTTCCGTATTCCTTAAAGTTCTTCCAGAATCCATAATCATACATTTTGAAAGTACCTTTACGAATCACTGGGAACCCAGAAAAGTGTCAGAATAAACACTTCAAAGGCAGGAACTGCTAGAGAAAGAAAGATGGGGAGCAAATAATTCCTGAAGGGGGCGAAGGGAAAAATGAAATAGAAAGTTCTGGAAGTGCGAAAGCAAAGAAAATTGGCATCAATTGCATACTTTGGAAAAGGTGGTGCAGATTCTTTGCAGATGTAGGATGAGGCTCGTATTCCAGGTAGAAATCGATCCGGGAGTCATTGAAACAACAATTCTTTCCTGTATAGGACAACTTAAATAAGAAATCAAGAAGCCCAGAAGGGAAGATAAGCATTCTTAGATTGACCCACCCAAAGAACCTAAACTTAAAGAACCTGTGATTGAACCAAGCAAGTCATTGCAATTGACACGTCCATCGCAAATCATATCCATAAGTTGAGTACCCATATCACTGAGAAGGTATGGAAAATGAGAAAAGATGAGTACTAAGGAAACTTAAAAAGCAATTGAAATGAAAGAAAAGTATTAACAATACCTCTTGAAATTAAGTTCATGAATACCCATTGCAAGAAAGACCTGGGAATACAACAATAAAACCAAGCCTTTTAAGAAAACTTTATTGATAGAGCAGACATAATAAAATGAATCTGACGGATAAGAAGATATGGCATACGTCGTCCATGTGCATTTTCACAAGTCTTAGAACAAATTCAGTACTGATATGATTCAAATATGATATGGGACACAAAAGAGCAGCTGCTTCAACCATTGATGCTAAATCCGGCTGAGTAAGGGCAGCTAGAGACATAATAGTTCCCTTCACATATAAAGAAAGGGTCATTCATATTAAACGGGAATAATCAAATGAAAAATCTGCAAAGATGAATGGATGAGTTTTGGAATACTCAAGACCTGTGAATGTCCAACAATGAACACTTTTGAGTTTGTAACATTAGAAATATAACGAGCCATTTCTGCAAGATCATACAAAGCCAGTTCCTGCCAACTCCAATCCCAGAATTCCTAGAAACAAACATATTCCATTTATTATCAAAAGCAAAACCATAACATTGGTTCTTCATGCAGAAAAAGATTAACCTCTGCTGCAGTTAGAACTAGGAGATATCCCTAAATGTAAATACTGAAGACAACATATATTTTTTAACACCCTAATCAAGAAATCTTATCTCCTTGCATGGAAGGTTGAATTTTGTATTAATGAGATGCGTAAAAGAAAATACTGGAGTATTCCATTGCAAGAGACAATCACTAGTGTTAATGACTGAAATCTAAATCATTTTTTGAAACCAGAAGCATATTGTTAAGTTGAATAAAAGTTGGGGTAAAAAACAAGCGCCTGACCCTGTTGGTAATGGGGAGTGCCAAAACAATTCGTTCCACCTACGGCACAACTTTGCTGGACAATTTGTAGGCAAATAGTAACATTCAGAATTCGAGTTGCAATTTCTAAGTATAAAAGCAGTAGTTTTGAACTGCTCATGCAATTTGTGGGTGAAGAAGGTAATAACTGTTATCACATACAAAGCAAAAAGTAAACCCAAGTGGATGCAACCAATATACCTTTTCCCTCTCAGATAAAGAGACATGTCCATGGCTCCAACGCGTCCCGCGGACATTTCCAGCCCATACATCAAACCCGTTATCAGCAAGGATAAAGCCCAAAGATTGATTCGGGGAGTCCATGAACCAGGCATCACCTGACTTAAAGAATGATTAAGCAATGTTAATCACATGAACGGAAAAAGTTAGAAAAGTAACAAGAAAACTTAACATCGTTCTGTGCCAATGGAAATCATGACGTATTTATTCACAAGGCCATCTTGCAACTTGCATTATCTCCAAAATTACTAAAGTTTAAAAAGATTGATTCAAAGTTAAGTTCAATTTTCAAAAGAATTGTATACTACAAAATGAAACCAGAAGATACAAAAATGAAATAACTGCTTTTAGCTCTACTTTTTCGGTTTTTCCCATCCGTTTTTTAAGAATACCAAACTGCTCCAAAAAACATATAGATAGAAAGTATGATACTCTAGAGATGAGGAAGATAGACATGAGGAATGGAAATTCAACAAAGTTTGAAAGTAACAAAAAAGAACGTCCCAAAGGAAATTGTTTTCTACAAATTCTCAATGACCCAAACTCAATAATTCATAAGAACGTCACATTAAATGGCAGAAATAATCATTACCATCATTAAACCATGAAGAAGAAGAACGGGCGGACCCCTTTGTCCATTTAGATATCCAGTGCGAGATGATGATGATGAACCTGATACCCGTTGAAGACCAAGCAAGTAACCATCTTTCGTTTGAGTCTGCAAAAAAAATCATATCCAGAAAGAAAAGAAAACCATCAACTGAATTTCTTTATTTTTTGAGTAATAAATACTACTAAATATGCATCAAATATGATTAAAATTGCCTCTTAGTTCCAAAGACAGAGAAAAAAGAAGGGATTAATAACATCGATTAAATCATTATCCTAAACAAGCTAATAAAATGAGTAATTGAATTGAATATAAACGTATAAATAGCCGGAAATGGGATTACAATGTGCTCGGAGCAAGGATAGCCGGCGGGTTCGATGAGATGAGCACAAAGACCGGCTGCCGGAGCATTGCGGAGCCTGAAATTGGACGGCAATCCGGATAATTTTTCCCCGCCGGAAGAAGGGATAAGTAGACTGAGCAAAAGAACGGCCACCAATAGCTCCATCTCGCCGGCAAATGGTCAGCCGGAGCCGGAGGGAAGGTTCTAGTGGCCAAGAAGCTGGGAACAGTTCACTCAACGTTGGAACGTTGGTTGGAAGTTGGAAAGATCCTTGGTTCAATGCCTTGTTTGACTATTGCACTTTCGTATTTTATACGCGCGGTTTATGCGCGCGTGGTTTCGGCCTTGCTTCGTTAGATAATGATCTCGTGGATAAGGCAGTTGCCTTGTGTTGGCGCGCCACCGAGATTCTATTGGGCTTTGAGCCCAATTTATAGTACGCATTCGGTACTGATAATGGGCCTCTCAAAACCGAATAAATATCATGAATTGGTGGGTTGTATTTCCTTTTAGTATAATTAGTGGACTCAATTGTAATTCAGGAAAGTGTGGGACTATAAATATTAAACAGTGTACTGAAAAGACATTATGGAAAATATTGTGTATTGAATGAAAATTCAGATCTCTTCTTCTCTTCGTCATTTCCTCCTCTGTAATCCCTAAATTCTTGTTCTCTTCTTCTCCGGTCAACAGATTTCTCCTTCCGATCAGGTCGGAATTGTTCCGTTTCTGACAATAAACAAGAATGGAAAATTTTTTACGTTAATTGTTAAAATTTGGTGTTAACATCTTATTTTTGAAGATTTTTTTTCCCATAAAATCTATAATTAATTCATTTTTTATATAAAAAATAAAAATAAAAGCAAAGACAGTACATAGTCGCTAAATCAGCCATATTAAATAACATACGTATTCAAAAATTTGCTACTCACAACCATGTCGTTTCAGTGACAATTATATATACATTTTGAGTATATATCGAATAATTCGTAAATTCTCCACCGAGATAAAGCACAAAAGCACAAAGAGTGCATCACAATCTTGATGTTAGTCTTGTACAGCGATATCATTGTAAGTTCGTGACCTTATTTTCATTGTAGTATTTTGTATGTAGTGGTTGCATAATTCTACATAATGGAATTTAGATACATTAAGAAAATTATACGATCGTAATGTTTGATATACTAAATAATGATGTCATAAAAATTCACTTTTTTTTTCCTTATTATTGATTCATTGTATAGAATCCTTAGTTTCAAGTTTTAACTTTCAAGACAGTGATAACGGCAATAAACCCAAAAGAAAAAATAGTAGTTCGAAAAGATAAACTAATACTAATTTATAATGAGTAATTTGTTGTGCCGGTCCAGCGATTTGGACTTTGGCATTCAACCAAGGAGATTCATGTTCGAACTCCGTTAACAATACTTTCAGTGTTGAGTTTGTGTAGGTTTACTTACAGCAAGAATTTTTTCGAGTATCAGATCGAGACGTGCGCGCGTAGAGTCTCTCCCTTAATAGTATTATTCCCTTCCCCATAGATCCTTCCTCCCTGAGCAGTACTATCTACTATCCATCTTCCATAGACCCCACCCACATGTAATAATTATGTGTCAAAAAAAAAAAGTAATTCGTTGTGATAATCACCATGAATTAGAGGTAGAAATTAGCTAACAAAAAAGAAGTATCAAAGCTGACCAAGTTCAACGCACCTTCGTCCCCATGTAGCCATCATCTCGAACATCTTTTCAAAATAGAGTATAAAGGCGCGGTCCAATTCCTTCGGGGAATATAAAACAGAGTGATGAAGGCGTGCTTCATGCCATCATCCAAGAATCTGTGCTACAATTTCGAACCCACATACAGACTCCAATTCCTACGCTAATAAAAATTCCTCCTCGTCTCTGGCAAAGTCAATCAGACCAGAATAAGAAGACTCAAACAGTATAATATATCACCAAAATCAATTTATATACCTTTGTTTTCTGTATTCGTTCATTGAGTTTCATCTGAATCCCCGAATTTCTTCTCCGCCTATCATTAATGGCTTCTTCAGCAGATGGGTTTCATGCCCTGGACGAGAAAGCTTTGTTGGAATACATTAAGGCCACCCCAGCTCTAGCAAAGCAGCTTGGGAATCAATTTGAAGGATTGCAAATAAAAGAAGTTGGTGATGGCAATCTTAACTTTGTGTTTATTGTTATTAGCCAATCGGGCTCTCTTGTCATCAAACAGGTTGATTTTCTTGCCCTTTTCCTTCTTCTTTCCGATCAGTATTTTTTAATCCAACTTCTTTAGCTTTTTACGCATTGCTCGACCTATAAATAAGGGATTGTTTGATTTTTGTGTGCTGTAGTTATCTGAAGTGTTTGAGCTTGTTGATGATGCTATTTGTGGCGGAAAATCGGAAAGTTGATTGTTCTGTTGATTACCTGTGTTGCTGACTTCTTCCCCTTTGGTTGTCGTTTAAGATCAATTGAGTAAAGATTCAACCCTTTTGAAATTGAAATTGAAAAGGATGTCACATTGATTTGTTGTTTGGAGAAATAGTAATATTATACTACTTATTTATCCCTTTCGGATCGAATGGACTAACCAATTTGGCCCTGAAACTATTTGGTTGTTCATTTGAGCTATGAACAACTGAAGGGTATTTAGTAATTTAAAAATTAATCAATTCAAATGGGAGAATGCGAGCTTTCTAGTTGTGCATTTTTGTACATATCAAATTTATTTGTTTCTTGGAAAAATGGTTCTAGAATACCTTTTTTGTTTTTTCTCTTCTGTATTTTGATGCGTGTGAACTGTGAAGCATGTAATTAACAGGAATTTCTCTCTGCAGGCTATTCCTTATGTTCGTTGTATTGGAGAATCTTGGCCAATGGCGAAGGAGCGTGCTTATTTTGAATCAAAGACGCTCATAGAGCACGGGCGTTTAAGTCCTGATCATGTCCCTGAGGTCTATCATTTTGACCGTGCTATGTGTTTAATTGGCATGCGTTACATTGAGCCTCCTCATATTATATTGAGAAAGGGATTGATTGCTGGGACGGAGTATCCTTTGTTGGCTGAACATATCTCGGATTACATGGCAAAAACTCTTTACTTCACATCTCTTCTTTATCTCACCACAACCGATCACAAACGTGCAGGTAATAATTATGCCACTTGTTTCGCGAATACTTAAACGCACCTGGAAATTAACAGTCTGCTGTTTCTCTTGGTCAAATCTTTCCTCACCCTTTCTTCGAGAATGCAGAATGTAGTACACTTAATTCCCTTGCTGTTCTCTCGTTGCTGCATATACATCACGAATAGCTCCGTGTATAGTGGTTTTCGATATCATTCTTTTTTAACTTGGTTGTTAATTTTTTCTCGTCCTTTGAGATTGTGAATGGAAGAGCCTCCGTTATTTGGATCATGTTCAGAATGGTACATTCAGTACAGAAAATTTGCAGCTTTGGTTTCTCAGTAGGAAACAGTTTGAGTAACTGGTTGACAAGTAACTGCTCTGAAAGATCCCATGGGAATCCAAATTGGAATGTCTTATTTACTTGTGTCAATATCCATTGCTTTTCTTGGGGAAGTAGCAATTGCTAATCGTTTAACTGTTGTTCAACTACATATAGACTCGCTTTCTGGAGATTGAATATCTGAGCTTATCCATCTCTAATTCTTTGTGCAGTGGCCGAGTATTGTGGCAACGTAGAGCTGTGCAGACTGACTGAGCAGGTGATCTTTTCTGATCCGTACAAGCTCTCTAAGTATAACCGCTGCACAACTCCTTATCTTGATGCCGATGCGGAGGCAGTTCGGAAAGATGACATCTTGAAGCTTGAAGTTGCAGAGCTCAAATCCAAGTGCGTTTAAAGATCACCATTCCTTATAATACTTTTAACCTCTTAAACCGTACTTCTTGTCGCTGGTATCTTATTGTGCATGTCTTCCGCAGGTTTTGTCAGAACACTCAAGCTCTAATTCACGGCGATCTTCATACTGGTTCTGTCATGGTTACCCAAAATTCAACACAAGTTATAGATCCAGAATTTTCTTTCTATGGGCCGATGGGATTCGATATTGGAGCGTACATTGGAAATCTAATTCTGGCTTACTTTGCACAAGATGGTCATGCCACCAGCGAAAATGACCGAAAGGTAAGCCTTTTGTTTTTGAAGTTCAGGAAATCATGAGTAGGTTTGATCTTCTGGAAAGTAAGGTATCTATACGTAATCTATGAAACTGTGATGCTGGATCAGTTGAAGGAACAATCACCACTTAATCTAGTGAAAGTTGATCGATGGAGAGAAAGTCATTGGCAATTCTGCTAACTTAGATTTTAAATTTGTCAGAACAAGTATGTTTGAACCTGAGTGCTCACAGATAAGAGACATTGTATAGGAAAAAAATATGTCGATAAAATGCAATGTGAACTTATATGCCGTATGACATAAGATGTAAGAAATGAAAGCCGAAGTCCAAAAATCTTATATTTGATGAAATTAATCTACGTATCAGATAAGAGCTACTTCTTTGAAAGTTAATATTATCTAAATGTGTTGAATTTGGATTAGGGACAGAATTGTGCATGTTGGTGATTTGCTGATACATTATATTTACAATTTTACCAAAAGAAAGTTAGTATTCTTTAGCAAAGTATTAGTAAAAGACCGGGGTTCTGCGATACACTTCTTTTCTGGTTATTGTACTTGATTTTAGGCTCTCACCGTTTCTTTTTGTGATTCTTATTATGCACACATTGTTTTACCCTATCTGGAGACTTGTTTTCCACATTTTCTTATTCCGTGTGGTTATTGATTACATCATTATATAGGCATATAAATCATGGATACTGAGGACTTTAGAGGAAACCTGGAAACTTTTCCATCAGAAGTTCACTGCTCTTTGGGATGAACATAAGGATGGCCCTGGTGAGGCTTATCTCCCAGAAATCTATAATACTGCAGAATTGCAGCTATTAGTACAACGGAAATATATGGAAGATCTGTTCCATGATAGTCTTGGATTTGGTGCTGCAAAAATGATAAGGTAAGAAAGATAATGCATTGGTTCTTCTTCTTCTTCGACATTTTACCTCACCCATTTTACATAAGATCATTGAACCTTTGACACATCTTGCTTATGGTGGTGTAACATTTCTAAAGTGGGGATGATGCATTGTGAGGGTCTCATTTTAGGATTCTTTCATATTAGATCTCTTGACATGTTATATTTCTCTAGGGTTACTTTTGCACTTAGTTGGTCTGTGATCTTGATATTGTCTATATATGAAGCTCGTCTCTACACATTTCACATAGACAGTACACACTGGAAACATGGCTTTAGTCATTTTGATGAAAATCGCGGTACTTAATTTATGACATACCTCTTGAATAGGAACTGAAGTATCCCCTGTTACTCTGTTACATCTGCATGCACTGATATTAGCTTTTGCAACATCTTAATTCTGATGTACATTTTAGCTTTTAGAGGTTTAATGTCATATGCTCCTTGCAGGAGGATTGTTGGGGTAGCTCATGTCGAAGATTTCGAATCAATAAGTGAGGCAGAAAAACGTGCAAATTGTGAGCGCCAAGCTCTCAACTTCGCAAAAACGTTGTTGAAGGAGAGGCGCAAATTCAAGAGCATTGATGAAGTAATATCTGCCATCCAGCAAGTTCAATCATAAAATTTGTCTTGAAGTTAATTGGCTATCGTAATGATTTTGCAGATTTGAGCTCAAATCATATCTAGGGTTACTGTTCAAGTTTGCCATGGTTTTTTTACCCAAAAGTCCACTTCGAAATTTTATTCGATTTGCAAGATTTAATCTATTATTAAGTTTTCCAATTAAGAAAGTTTTGCAATCACACGATTTGAAACCAAGATGCTGCATGTTAAGAAGCATTAAGATAAACATGCACAGCAATTTATGAATAAATCTTTTTATTTTTTAGACACAGATTGAGGAGGCTAAAACAAATAGGATTACATCATTAAAACCTAATCAAACTGCTTCATAATGAATATTTTGGAAAAATTGAACTCTGAGTTTTTCTACCATTGTCACTCTTACCTTACAGATTTTCCGTTAGTTATTTTTACTCTGATGTTTGAAATTTTTGCTAATTTTGTCCAATTGATCTATCTTTCGTCCAACATAACGGATTTTCGTGATTTTTTTTATATATATAAAAAATATAGATTAAATCACTAAAAATATATCAATAGTTTTAAAAATTATAGAAATGACCTTTAAAGTATATAAAAATAACAAAACATTCTAGTTTCACTTTTTATTTATTTATTTTTTAATCAATTTCATCCCAATTCTCTTTAGTACTTTTCATTGCCATAAAAGTATACTATATGATTTTTAAGGAAATATTTATTTATTTTTCAAACCCTACTATATAAATTAATGTTTGTAGAATTTGAACACTGGTTGTATTTATATGAACGAGCAATGATAGTCATAATGACAAAATATAGTGAATTTTGATAGTGGCTAATGAAAAAATATTTACACCACACTCACTATACATGTGTATTTATTATTAATTAGGAGTAAAAAGATAATTTAACGGGAAAGATAAAATTTTATAGTGGCAAAAAATAGGGACCATAGGCCATTACTCCACATCAGTCACTATTTTCTGTTATTCTTTTTCACTATACATATCATTTTTCTAAATAAATATTTTAATTTTTTAATAATAAAGTTTAGCAGTAATGGTACCTTTTTTCTGATCCGATTTTTCTCTAAAGAATAACAATTAATAATACAATTCAAATTGGATTACCAAATAATTTACTAATATATTTTAGTGCTCTATCTATATTTGGCGAAATGTGCTATATAGAGAATATAATCATACCTTTTTTCACCCACAAAATCAAAACTTATTATCTTTTATTCTTAAAAAGATAATCTATCCCAGTCGAGTCCACTTAAATGTGAACTTCCCACCTACAAACCTTTCATGAGAATTGAACTCGAGTCTATTCCTAGAAAACACATCAACCTAGTCAATAGGCTTTTTTGTTTTTGTAATTTTCATAAAAACTTATTATCTTTTATAATGAACTTTTGTTATTTATAATTCACAGACATCCTCTTTAGTTAAATTTTTTCTTTAAGAGTTTTTATTTCTATCATGTTTGCGTGATTAATTTCAAAAAAAAAAATTATGAAAATTATTTATTTAATTACCACGAATGAGACCCAAGGTTAAGTAAAGAAGAAAAATTTACTCCAGCCGTTCTCAAATTGATTCCTGCAAACTACGACATAACATATAAACCACTTAATCAAACGAAAAACTCAGAGTGGGGGGCATCAATGACATACATTTATGGTTATACATTAGAGTCTTCAACACCAAATCTCACAACATAACCGACATCTCACACTAACTAAAGAGATGGTGATGAAGTGAAATCTTGAAATGGTTACAAAGAGGAATCAAAAGCAATATAGTTCAAAGGCATTCACGAGGCAGTCATGCAGAATTCAGACAAATATCAATCACATACATTGTCGTTATAAAACATCACCCTTAACTCATCAAGACACAACCAGCGAAATGAACCGCATATTGTAACAAACCATAGAGGTGGGGATGAAATACTCGAAAATGTACAAAAGAATGGAATCAAAAGCAACATTAGTTCAATTTAATGGCATACACGTTTAAGTCATGCAAAGCCCAATCATATAGCAATCAACTAACAAAGAACAAATAATTACAATAACCCAGAAACTAACTACGAACAAATGAAGACTCTTTACCGGAAAGAACCAATAATTACAATAACCTGGTAAGACATATAAATCTAACAAAACAAGCTCTGATCTCATTTAAATCCTAAAACAACAAACTGAATGAATCAAAAAATAAATAAAAAAATAGACCAAGCTTCCTTTTAATTGATAGCTTCAACAAATGGCATCGAATTATTCAGGGATTCAAAACATTAGGCATTAGAAAGGGATGCAAGATTTAAAACATCGAATCATTCGGAGATTTAAAACATTGAACAACGGCATACAAGATTTGTGCGAAAACATCAGGGATTTAAAACAACTTAAAAAGAAGGAAATAGAGAACTTAGAAAGAGGTATTTTAGATTTGCCGACATCGAATTCATCCCACCTCGACCCTTTTCATTTAACCTCTTAAACTCAGCTTTCTGAATTTCCAAGACTTGCAAATCAGCAAATCTGCAGAATCAGATCTCAAAGAGCCGAAGAGTGGGAGAAAGTGGCGGCGAGCTCCACTTCAACAGAGCTAGGGTTCGCGTTTAGACAGAATTTTATGTTTTGGCCAAATATTTCCTTATATGAACAAGCCATATTTTTCTACTATAACATAGCTTCAACCCGTCATTCGACCCACGAACACTTATGTAAAACACTTTCTAAAAATTTGAAAAACATCCCACACCTATTTTTCAATAACTATACTTCAGACACTTTTTTCAAAAAACACTTTTCAAACACACTCAAATATTTTGTCCAAACATGTTTTGAACTGTTAAAATGATAACAATGTTTTTGAAACCGTTGTCCAAATAGAGCCATTATCTTTTATCTTGAACTTTTGTTATTTATAATTCACAAACATCTTCTTTAGTTAATTTTTTCTATAAGAGTTTTTGTTCCCATCATGTTTGCATGATTAATTTTTTAAAAAAAATTATGAAAATTATTTCTTTAATTACATAAATGAGACCCAAGGTCAAGTATGGAAGAAGGTTTTAAAAAAAATTTCATTTCTACATCAACCCAACATGAGATGATATAGTGTAGTGGCATTTACAAAAATGAGACAAAATATTTTATAAAAAATGTATATACGTATCAATGTGAGGATTTTACCTTTTGTAATAATTAATTGAGATATTAATATATCTAACTTCAACAGAAAATATTGTTCGTTGTTTATAATTGTATTTTAGAATCAATGAAATGGAGATTTAGATACAGCGATAAGTTGTTAGTCGGGAAGAAAATTTATGTCTGGAGGATTTTTTTTTTAAGGTTTAAATTATTTTATACATTTGAATAATTATTTTTTTTTGAATTGTATTAATGCAATCAATAGTCTCTTGAGTTAAATTATTATACACAAAAATATACTAATAAATTATTTTGTTATCTTAGATAAATATTTTATTTTATGTGGAGTATTAGTTTTAGTTAAATGTTTTTACTCTTCAGATTAAGAAGAATAAAATGAATCAGAAAAATAGTACCGTTACTTCTAAACTATACTATTAAATAAATTAATATGTGTATATAAATACAACCATGAGTTGCAAATATTTAAATATTATTTGTACAATAGAGTTTTAAAATAAATAAATATTTCTTTGAAGATCATGTAATATACTTTTATTGTTATAAAAAGTGATGCGGTTCGGCGACATTAGGGTTTTATTTCTATCTCTATGTTTTTATTGCTTTTATTTTCGAGATTAGGGTTTATTTCCGTAAGGGTATTTCTGGACTTAATATCTTTTAGGGTTTTATTTCTTTGTCTTTATAAACCGAATAACGGCATTTGTAGTCGTCAGTTGTTTTCATTAATTGAAAAAGAGATTGATTTCTCAAAAACTAGTTTTTTCTGATGTTGGTGGGATTAATTAGTTCTAGTCACGATTTGTTCCCATTTGGGTTGGTTATTCGTGATTAGGCCCTAGATTCGGTTGTTCCATAATCGTTAGTGACCGTTTTTCCTTGAGTGATTGCCGCCAGCACCTTCTCTTCTGATTGAAGAAGTTGCGCCCGAGTAATATATCCACCGACTGGAGAAAGGTTTGCTAGACAACTTGGGATTTGACCCAGATTTGGACGAATTCAGCAAAGAAATTAAGGTAGTCCATTGGTCTTGGGATAAACCAGTAACCGCTCCGGCTTGCTCAACCGGACCAAAACCAGACGGGTGAACCATGGTATGTGCTACAGCCGGCTGAACCAGACCACCCGAGCTGGTTGAAGAAGCTGAACCGACACTACCCCCAGACCGAGTGAAATGGCTGAATCCTCTTCCGCGTCCACGGCCACCACTACCGCTCCGATTCTCCGGGAAACCATGAAGTTGAAAACATTCTGAGATGTCATGATTCGGCTTGTGACAATAGGAGCAAATCACACGATTCCTTGAACCACGACCCTTGGATTTGGAAGCAACAGCCGGGCCAAGAACGCCGACTTCACTGCCGGAAGTTGCAGAAATCTGGGAGGCGCCATGGCTGATGGAGTTGACAGTCTGTTTAACTTCTCCTCCTGAACAGCCAAAGAGTACGCCGGAGCAATTGGCGGCAACGGATCAGTTGACAGAATTTGGGATCGAACTGACGCATGGAGATCAGGATTGAGACCCATTAAAAATTGATGAAGACGCTCGTTCTCACGATGAACCTCCAGTACCGCCGCCACCTTCTCTTGATAGGGAGCACATATTTCCGACACGGATGGACAATCGGAATCGCCAATGTCGTCCCAAAGTTTCTGAAGTTGCCCGTTGTAATATTCAACAGAGGACGCCCGTTGCTTGCACTTCGCCAAATCGGACTTCAATTGCTGAACACGAGAGCCGGAGACAACTGAAAAATGCTGTTGGAGATGATCCCACAAGTCAGCGGAGATTTCCTTCTGCGGAATCGTCGACCGGATGGACGGATCAATCACGTTGAGAAGCCAGGAAGTGATCAATGATTGAATAGTCCACCAGTCTTCTAAATTGGAAGCTTTCTTCGGTTTGCGGAACGGATCGATGGACGAAACCAAATTTTTTGCGAGCCCTAGGAGCCATCCGAACAGCCTTGGACCATTAATGATAATTCCACGCACCTTTCAACGGAATTTGGGTGATAGTTTGGCCGGAATGATCTTTGGAAGTTAAATTATACGGAGAGATTGTCCGGTGAATAGCAGCTTCATCGTCGGAACCATCACTACCATTCTCCGACATGATACCAGTCCAGCAAAAGGTTGATCAGAAAATTTTTACCTGCTCTTTACCACGAAAAGATTGAAAATGTTGGAAACGGCCGTCTTGTAACACAGCCGGAAAAACCAAAATTATACTACTATATTTTAGGGTTTAGAACAACATCCTATATATACTATACAAAGCTGTAACTCGGTAATAATGATACCGTAAATATACAATAAGAATTACATCCGTAATAGAAACGACATGAATCGTGGAGAGATTTGTGTGGAATTGATTTGGAGATCGTGGAAAGGAAATCAACAAAAAGAAAGCAAGGTTAACGGGTGAAAAATATAAAAGACATGGCCTTCTAGGATTAGATTGGTGTAAGTATAGCCAATCTAGTACAACTGTGGTTTCTCTTATCTATCGGCCTAGTTTTATTAGATCTTTTCCAACGGAATCCACTTTCATTCCTCGAATTCTTTAGTAAATAATTAGTTCGATGCGGAATTTAGTTTCTTGTTTGGTCACTCATGACTTGTGTAATGCTTGTCATTTCATTCATTTCTAGACAAGCTGGCATAGAGCCCAGAATCGGACTGGGAAAAGTCATGACCAAAGAGCAAAACCAGCACATATTAATCCAATCACCGATTACGGCTTAACTTGTAATAAAGACAAATCGAAAAACCAAGATACAACAAATCGTGTTTGTTTGGTATCATGTTTTTTCGTAATAATTTTTTTTCCCTTTTGAGACGGAAGAAATATCAATTTAAAACTTTGAAAGGATAAAAATCATTTCAGAACGTGGTGTATAATTTGCAACTAGTGGTTGAACCTTAGGCATGGTCAATCCACCACCCTCAGTCATATCGACTAACGAATGCCCAAAACTTTCCAAATCAAAACATTGAATGACTGAGCCCAAACCAAAAACAACCATACACAGAGCCAAATTTTCTCCGGCACAGCTTCTCCTTCCTGAACCAAAAGGCATCCATTTGTACCCATCTTTCGTACCTTCAATACCTTCAAATCTCTCTGGCTTGAACTTTTTTGGTTCGTCCCAAAATTTGGGATCATTTTGGATTGCCCACACATTTACTAACAACATGGTACCTTTTGGGATTCGGTAACCACCCACGACACATTGAATTCTTGCGAGGATTGGTGAGGTAACAACGGCCCTGCAGGGTACAACCTCAATGTTTCGCTCACTATACAATGCAAATAAGGTAACTTAACAACATTCGATTCGTCTAACAAACGCTCTTTTCCGAGTAAATTGTCAATTTCTTGTTGTGCTTTCGTTGAAGGGTTGTTTAGCATTAGTGACAATGCCCACTCTATTGTTCCCGTGGATGTTTCTGTCGCCCCAGATAGTAAAACCTGCAACTCGTCAAAATAATTGTTTTTCCATCACATAATAAAGGCCAAGTTCTATTTACTTTCATTTATTTTTTTAAAAAAGAAACTACTCATCTAGATTGCTCAATTAACACTCATCATGTTCAGATGAGGTATAATTTCTTTTGTTTTTTTCGTTTGCAAGATACAAATAAGCCAGCCAATCACCATTTTTAAAATGAAAGATATGAAGGCTCGGTAAATCCAAAAAAAAAAAAAACAAAACAAAGAAAAGGAAAGAAAAGAAAATAAAAGAATATGACTTGTTTAGGCCAAAATAATGTATTTGGAACAATACACTTTCGCTATATATGCATGCGTAATTTTTTTTTTTTGCCTCTAATTGACTCGATCAACTTTTGACTTTTGTTAGATTATTTTATTACGACTGGAAATTTCAACCATAATCCATTCAAACTAGCCCATTCAATCAAATACGTTCAATTTCATATGAGTCATGATGATACTCGATGGATTGTTGCTCATTGTAACAATTAATACATATAAGCCTAATTAGAATGATACTCTTTTCGGTCCCTATCATAAAATATTTTAGCTTTTTTTAAAAGTTTCACTTAATATATTTTTTCGATGGAAAAAAAAACTTAAAACTAAATTTTCTCATTCATTGTATCCTCCTAATAATTAACAAATATTTTTAAGTTTTTTTAATTGAAAAAATGTACGATGTAAAATTTAAGACAAATCAAAATGTTTAATAAGAAACGGAGAGAGCACCTCCGCACTGTGGATCACTTTTGTGTATGGTTTCACTCGTACTGTAACTATTAATTCTTTTAGTGTCACTATACACATAAGATGTAAAGTACACAAATCGTAATGCTGAGCAGTGATGGCTCAACATCTTTAGGAGTCTAAAGCGAGTTTTAAATTGTGGGTCTTTTTCGTATTTTCAGGAGCATAAAATAAATTACCTAAAACTTTTATAGTTACTGTAGAAGGCAAAAACTTGAATGGCTTTATTCATACATCTCGTAAGTGAGAAATATTAACTACGTAGTGCTTTAACCACAATTTAATATAATTTTTAGATCATTATTTTTGTGATTTTGTTACTAATCTATATATATATATATAAGCAGAGTTCTTAATCGACACGTGTCGTCCAGGGAGCAAGTTTAGCCAATTGTGCCACGTGTCATCATCGAAATTCTCCTTCATTAAATAATTAAAACTTTGTTACTAATATGTAAAATTGTTAAATTGAATTAACTAATTAATCAATAGTTAATTTCGAAAAATAAACACGTTTTTGGTAATTATTGACAAATATATGACATGAGGAAACATTAATTATCAAATTAATAATTACATTAAATATAGTTTGAAACTAAGTCTGGATTTAATATTATTTTTCAGATGATTTTTTTTGATATATTTTCCAAAAATTAAAATATATTAGTTACCAAAAAAAAGATTGTTACCAAATAACTAAATTCGTAATACAATTTGAAACCAAGTCTACCTACATTACAAGTATGTTAATATTGTTTCTTAGATGATTGGTATATTTTTCATAAATAAAAAGAGACTATTTACCAAAATGAAGAGACTATTAACCAAATAATTATACGAGTACAATTCAAAACTAAATCTGGATACATTAAACATAAGTTAATAATATTTTTCTGATGATTCTTGTTGATATATTTTTCAAAAATAAAATTAGATTAGTTACCAATAACAAAAAAATATATTTGTTACCAAATAATTATACTGTGAATACAATACAAAATTAAGTCTGGATAAATTAAACGTATGTTCATATTATTTTTCAGATGATTCCATTTGATATATTTTTCAAAAATAAAAAGAGATTAGTTACTAAATAATTATACTATAAATACAATTCGAAACCAAGTCTGTATACATGAAAGATAGGTTAATATTATTTTACAGATGATTACATTTAATATATTTTTCAAAAAATAAGAAGAGACTATTTGCCAAGTATCATAAGATTCAAGGGCTGTTAGTTTTGCATTCATAGCATTTACTGATTTTTGATTGTTTCTAGCCTGATTATATGTCGTAGGTTCTTGAATCATAGACAAATTAGCTAACAAAGAATCATGAGAAGAAGAGAAATCACAGGCTAAGGAAGGTGAATCTGTAAAATGATGCAAAGAACCAAAAGGTTGACAAATGTTGACAAGTTCAAAGTCTTGTAGTTTGGCAGGCAAATGTCGCATCCTATTGCTTTGCCTAACTGGTGGAGGTGGTGAAGGAACATGAGGAAAATTATGTGAATAAGAAATAAGAGGTGAAGCTGTTGAAGGTTTAGAACCTCCTGAATGTGAATTTGACGTGGTGAAGTAAGGATTGACATGTGACTGAGTAAAAGAAGAAAAGATGTTGTCACTGTCTGGACAATCTGAATCAGGAATTGCTGTTGGAAGTACAGGATGGTGTTGGTCACTAGAATAAGAGGGAAAGACTGTTTCATGGAAGATAACATCTCATGAAACAATGATTTTTCTAGGAGCTGAAATATAAAGTTTATATCCCTTCTGATGATTGGGATAACAACCAAACACGCCTTTATGAGACCTAGAATCAAACTTGTCATGCTAAGGACTAGTATCTATAGCAAATGCCAAACAACCAAACACTCTAAGATGATCATATGTAGGTGGCTTTGCATAGGACAGTTCAAAAGTTTTCTTCCATTGTAAGACAATAGAAGGTGTAAGATTGATTAAGTGTGTGGCAGTAAGTATAGATTCCCCCCAGAATTTTTTAGGTAAATGAGATTCAAGAAGAAGAGAACGTACAACTTGTAACAAATGACGATGTTTTCTTTCAACAACACCGTTTTGTTGAGGTGTGTAAGGACAAGTAGTTTGATGAATAATGCCATTTTTACTAAGCAAATCTTAGCATGATGAATTAATGAATTTAGTGCCATTGTTTGTTCTAATGGTTTGTATATTGGCATGAAACTGAGTTTTGACATAAGCAATGAAACTATCAATCAAACCAACAACTTGTGTTTTGTATTTAAACAGAAAGGTCCATGTGCAATGAGTATAATCATCAACATGGTTGTTTCCTGGATTCTAAGTTCTATTTCTGATGAAATTGTGAATAAGTTCATGTATATCAGTAATGCGAGGGATTTATGGCATGAAATTGAAGAGAGATATGGATATGCTAATATGTCTTTACTTTTTCAAATTAAAAGAGAAATTGTTGTGATTAAGCAAGATAATTTGTCTATTACTTAGTTTTATGGCAAGCTTAAGCAATTGAGGGATCAATTAGGTCAATTGCGTCCAGATTTGTACTGTGAAGGAGCTGTTAATTCATTGATTAGTCCAGAAAAGAATAATCACTATGTCTTGGGTGTTAAGGATGCTTTGGATGTTGTAACTCGATTGATTGATGCTAGAGTCACTGAGGATAAGACTATGGAGTTTTTGATGGGATTAAGTGACACATTTGATGCTGAGAAGAACCAAATTCTAATGATGGATCCTGTACCAAATGTCAACAAGGCTTATGCCATGATACTTAAGGCTGAAAAGAATCGGAAAGTTAGTGTTAATGTTGATGTTAATTTAGAGAATCTTGCCATGGTTGCCAAAGAAGGTACTGCTTGGAAGAAGAACTTTGATCAGAAAGCTGTTGCTAAGACTGATAAGGCACACCTATTCTGTACTTACTGTAAGAGGACCGGGCACATCAAGGATAAATGTTTCAAGTTGGTAGGCTATTCAACTCAATCAACTCAACATATATGTTCTTATTGCCACAGAGAAGGACACATTAAGGAGAAATGCTTCAAGCTTAATGGATTTCCTCCTAAGTGGGACAGTAGCAATAAATCATCTGGTGGAGCTATTTCTGCAAATCTTGTTGAGACACCCCCTGATGAAATTCAGGATTCTTGTTGGGAAGAAGCTATAGCAACAACAACTCAAAGGGAAATCAGCAAAATGATGAAAGGGAAAGGCATAGCAGAAGGATCACATTCTGTTAACTTTGCAACATCCAATATTTTGCAGGTAGCTCTGTCTTGCCTTGATTACTTTCTCAGTCTGATTTTATCTTTTATGTTCTATGGTTCATAGACACAGGAGCTACATGGCACATGAATTCCTTCTTAAAACTGTTAACTAAACCACAAACTGCCAAAAAATCATATTCCAGTCTGTTTACCAGACCGGAGTATACAGTCAATAACTCACATTGGGGATGCTGTACTTTCTGATTCTGTGACCCTTAAATCTTATTTACATCTTCCAGGGTTCAAGTATAATCTCCTATCCGTTCAAAAAATAGCAAAAGATTCACATATGTTTTTCCATTTTTTTTTGATGAATTTTGCTTATTGCAGGACCATCAAACTCTTAGAGTCTTAGTAGCTGGTAGAGTGGTTAATGGGTTGTATGGACTTGTTCCGTCATCTTTCACTCTAGAAGCAATCAGAAGTCTCAAAATCTCTATGCTTCCTACATGCTTTCATCCAGAAGATTTTACAGTAGAACTTCTTCTGATCAGTCAATAATAAGGCCTTGGTTATTCATTCTGATCATCCTTGGCACTGTAGGTTAGGTCATCCATCTACCACTGTAATGAGGCATTTGCCTTCTAGTATTTCCTCTTCTTCATGCTCTTCTGATGTTAGCTTATGTGAAATATGCCTTATGTCCAAGCAACATCGTGATCCTTTTCCTACTAGTCATATTCACAGTACACATATGTTCTCTTTACTTCACATTGATGTATGGGGTCCTTATAAAGAACTATCTATAAATGGTTGTCAGTTTTTCCTTGAAATTGTTAATGATTATACTCGTTGCACCTAGACCTTTCTGTTTAAATACAAAACACAAGTTGCTGGTTTGATTGATAGTTTCATTGGTTATGTCATACATGGTTATGTTGAAGGTGAGCCATACATGGTTATGTTGGGGGTTCCAATAAGCTACTAACGATGCCATTTAATGGAGCCAGATAAGATTAGTTGCCAACACTGTGTGATAAAGATACACCCTAAACGAATTGAAGAATGAGGGAAGAAGACGATCAATCATTAATTGAAGATAAATTTTGAGGAGTTGTTTCCTTGAGTGATTGCCATCGCCAACTCCTTCTCTTTTGGTCGAATCAATGGGGCAATGACATGAATCTCGGGAGAGATTTATGTGGAATTGATTTGGAGATCGTGGAAAGGAAAAAAAAAAGGTTAATGGGTGAAAAATATAAAACACATGGCCTTCCAGGATTGGATTGGTGTACCACGTAGTATAGCTAATCTAGTACAGCTGGTGTGGTGAATAGTTTCTCTTATCTAGCTGCATAGTTTTGTTAGATCTTTTCCAACACAATCCACTGTCATTCCTCGAATTCTTTAGTAAATACTAAAGAATTTACTTGTGACTAGTGTAATACTTTTCATATCATTCATTTCTAGACAAGCAGCTGGCATAGAGCCCATAATTGGGCTGGGAAAAGTCAACACCAAATGGCAAAACTAGCACACATTTAATCCAATCACCGATTACAGCTTAACTTGTTATAAAGACAAAACAAAAAACCAAGATTTAACGATTCGTGTTTGGTATCATGTTTTTTTCTTTTTCTTTTTTTCCCCTCTTTTTTTTGAGACGGAAGAAATATCAACTAAAACTGTGGAAGGATATGGATTATTTCAGAACGTGGTATATAATTTGCAACTAGCGGTTGAACCTTAGGCACGGTCAATCCACTACCCTCAGTCATATCGACCAACGGATGCCCAATTCTCTCCCAATGAAAGCACTGAATGATTGAGCCCAAACCAAAACCAACCATACACAAAGCCAAATTTTCTCCAGCACAGCTTCTCCTTCCCGAACCAAAAGGCATCCATTTATACCCGTCCTTCGTACCTTCAATACCTTCAAATCTCTCTGGTTTGAACTTTTCTGGTTCGTCCCAAAATTTGGGATCATTTTGGATTGCCCACACATTCACTAGCAACATTGTACCTTTCGGGATTCGATATCCTCCCACGACACATTCTTGCGAGGATTGGTGAGGTAACAACGGGCCTGCAGGGTACAACCTCAATGTTTCGTTCACTATGCAACGCAGATAAGGTAACTTAACCAAATCCGATTCGTCTAACAAACGTTCTTTTCCAACTACGTTGTCAATTTCTTCTTGTGCTTTCTTCAAAGTTGAAGGGTTGTTTAGCATTAGTGACAACGCCCACTCCATTGTTCCTGTGGATGTTTCTGTCGCCCCAGATAGTAAAACCTGCAACTCGTAAAATAATTGTTAATAAAGGTCAAGTTCTATTTACTTTATTTCTTTTTTCTTAAAAAAGAAAGAAAGAAGAAACTACTGATCTAGATTCCTCACATAACAACACTCAATCATGTTCAGATGAGGTATAATTTCTTTTCTTTTTCTCGTTAGCAAGATATAAATATTCCAGCTAATTACCATTTTTAAAATGAAAAGATATGACGGCTCGGTAAATCCAAAAAAAAGAAAAGAAAAGAAAAGACTTCTTTAGGCGAAAACAATATATTTGGAACAATACACCTTCATATGCATGCATCTCTCCCCCTCTTGCATCTAATTGAATCAATGAGGTTTAGACTTTTGTTAGATTCCATATTTTATTACGACTGGAAATTTCAACCATGACCCAAAAAGGAGGACTAAGGTTGAAATTAGCCAATTCAATCTCATACGTTCATTTTTATCTGAGTCATGATGATAATCGATGGATGGTAGTAGTTCATTGTAACACAATATAGTCAGCCTAATTAATTAGAATGATATCTCTGCACTGTGGATCTCTTTTGTGTATGGTTCACTCATACTGTAACTAATAATTCTTTTAGTGTCAATATACCCATAAGATGTAACGTACACGAAATTAGACACATGTTCAAAAAGAAAGAAGAAGAAGGAAATTAGGAAGCGAAAAGTTGAAAAAAAAAAGAAAGAAATTAAGAAGTGATGAACAGATTACTGACCAATATAAGGCTTTTGATGAGTTCATCCGTATAATACTCAGGATCATTCTCTTGCAACCCCAACAAAACTTCCATCAACGTCTTGTTCTTTTCTCCTCTTCCTTCCTCATGATTAATTTTATTACCATTTACCTTAAACTCTTGAATCAACTCCTGCATGAATCCATCCCTCTTTTCTTGAAGACCCTTCAATCTACTATCCAATCTGTCCAAATTTAACCACCTCAATATGGGCAAGAAGTCCCCTAAATTGGACACCCCAGCAACCCTTGCCGTCTCCGACACAATCTCCCTGAACCTCTTCGCCGCCTCATCATCGACTTCATCGTTCTTGCCGGCGTAATACCTTTTCCCGGCGATCATCCTCATCATAACGTTCAACGTCAGCTCGAAAAACACGGTTCTCATTTCAACCCTACTAGTTTGTTTTTCCCGAGTACTGCTGGCTTCCAGAAAGAGCCTTCTGAGCATCAGCTTTACTTCATCGACCCGAATCTCGCGAAGCATTTGAATCCTATGGGAAGAAAGGATCTCCAGGGCGGATATCCTCCTCAGATTCCTCCAGTGATCCCCGTAAGGCGCGCTGGCTAAGGAAGTGTAATTGTAACCTAGGTATTTTCCGGGGAGAAGATTCGGGCGGTTCGCGAAGACGATATCATGTTTGTTAAGGCATTCTTCAGCTGCTGAAGGAGAGGATACCAAAAGGACCGGCCGGGATCCGAAATTCAGGAGGATTACCGGGCCATATTGGCTGGAGATTCTGGCTAAGCTTTTGAAAAGAGGCTTCTTAACCATGAGGTAAAGATGGCCGATAATCGGAAAGTTTAAGATTGGGCCGGGCGGGAGATTTCGGAGCTTGCCGAGGAAATGCTTGGTGATTATGTATAGGGCTAGGAAAAGGAGAATAAGGTACAAGCTGGAGAAGATTGCCATTGTAGATGCAGAAAGAGAGAAGTGAAGGATTTCAAAGATGTACAGATTCACGAAATGGGGGCTTTTTTTATAGAAAAAAATCCCTTTGTCCCAAAATTATTTTTCCATTTTGAGTTTTTACTTTTAATATAAATTGAATTAGTAAAAATCAAAACTGCACAATAAGAGAGTAGTGTATAATACACACCCAGAAGGCCAGAACTCCCTAATGGTTTATAATCTGGGAGGAAGTCAACGTTCTGTAACTCCCCCCAGGTGGAATTAGACAGAACATTATGGTACGTAGACGAAATATAATGAATAAATTAGGTTTTGCCCGTTCACAAAATAGCTTCCCTGTAACTTAATTATTAGTCTTCTTAGAGGACAATAGAGACAGATGAGCGTTGACAAATGACAATATCTATATTAATGTTCTGTAATGTAGTTTAATTAATCCATATTCAGAGGCATCATGTTTCTGACGTGGTGAATTTAGTCAGAAACATTTTACTTGCTTGTAGGAATATTTGAGAGTATATATTTACTTAATTGTTTGAAGAGGACCGATCAACTAATTAAGCTGAAGATGTCATTATTCAATCAGATTAAAAAATTATAATTACATCACTTTAGTTAAACCTGGTCCGCGATGGGAGGGTTGGAATATGCCAGCACATCTCAGACATAGCCGCATTGGTATTGATTTTTTTATTTCTATTTATTAAAATATGTTGTCGATGCAATGAAGGGGATTAGACATGTGACAATAAACAATGACTTAAAACGTTTTGGTAAATTTGACGGCAAATCATGAAGAAGAAACATATGATGTACATTCATTATGTAAATAAAAGTTGGATCCAAAATACGAAGTAAACATTGCTGGAGTGAAAGTGATAAAATTACATCTATAGGAAGCCAGAGTTAAGGAAAATACTGAGTGAGCAGTAAAGATCTTCCAGTGATAGCCTACGAGGAAATAAACCTCCAGTTGTTTTCGCCTGATCGATTCATATATAAAATGGGACTTTTTTCTTTCCATTTCTTAAAAAAATAACGCATGCTGAGCTCCCTATGTATGTACGTAAGAACATATAAAGTAAAGTAATGTAAAGACCTACAAATATAGTCTGATCCGTATTCTGTAAGAAAAACTATAAGAAGTTATACATAGTCACGGAAGATCATCACTACGGAAATATTTTGGGATGAGAACTTAACGTGCCGTGAATTATAAACTAAAAGTCCATCCATCAGATAACAACACTCTCTGCATTAATTTTATTCTATCTGTCTGAAAGGAAAAATCTATTTCATTATACTATTTTAGATTTCAATTTTCTAAAAAAAAATTTTTTTTCTTGGGACGAAGAGAGTATTAAATTAGTTCAACAAATTCACAAAATTCTTATTTTTCCGGATGGATAAACGAATATAATATGTAGACCCTGATCGCTCACCGGTTGGGTATAGTTTAGACTTTAGTATTGGGTGAAGCTGTTGCTTCAGAAGGGGCGATGCCATCAGGCACCAACATTTTAATCGAGTCATTTTTAAAGGATACTTTTGTCATGGGCTCGAACCCACACATCTATAAGTTCCATATTCAGCGTTATCATATAGTCACGCACGGCCAAATAATCAGCTTGAAAGCTTATTTAATTTACAGCAAATTAAGTCTTTCTGATTCTCAACCAAAAACTATATATATATATATAGATATATATATATATATATATATAAAATTAAAATTAAATTAGTCTTCCTCGCTCTGAATAATGGCGCTTACCAGAAATTTCTTCACCCAATTTTGATTTTTTTTTTTCTATTTTGGTAGTTATTTTTTTTTTCTAATAAAATGTTACTCCTTTTATATGTATGATGTATTACCATGAAATTAGTCAAAGACGTGCTTGATTAACTATTCGAAAAACAAGAGAGAGTACATTGATTACTTTTGATTTACATCCAATCCTAACTACCAAGAAATATAAGGAAAATGCAACGTAGAAGTCCTCCATTCGTTTCCATGCAAATCACAATAAGGACAAAGGGCGTTCAACATTAAAAAAACTCAAGTACATTAACTGTATTCTAAGGAATACTATACCATTCTATTTTTTGTTCGCTAAGAAAAACAGAAACTCCTTTTTTTTTTTTTTTTGGTTTTTTGACAGATGAGTTTCATTTGGAGCATTAAGAACCGTATTGAGCCTTGTAGTCACTCCATAGTTCATCAACAGTCTTTCCCAGAAGCTCAACAAAGTAAGCATCACTATAACCATACCTCATCTTCTCATTCAATTCCGCTATGAAATTCCCACCCTTCAAACCATTGCAATAATCCAGAAAATAGGCAGTCACTTCAAAACCCTCATCCCACTTGTTTCCTTGACCCGGCGCGTATCCGGCTTTCGGCCTCACGAAATCGGCAATCCCTTCAATCAAAGCCTGAGGAGCCTTTCCATTCCCATTCCACTACCAAACATGAGTTACCTCGTGGTATAAAATTCCCGTAAACTTGAATTTTACGTTGCCGGCGAAACTTTGGATGTACCTAGCTCCAAAATGGATTTCGTCGTTGGTTGTGAATGCAATCTCGTCTCTATCCTGGATGAAAATTTTAAAATAGTTGAAGTCTATTCTAGAGGCATTTGTGTTTTCCTGGAAGGTTGCGAAGACCAAGTCGGTGGCGTTGAATGCCTTCATTGCCGTGTACCCTTCATCGATTTCTTGTTCGGTCGCCGCCACGAGCCGGTGAGGCTAGGTTTTGGATTTTGATAAATCTAAAATTGCCTGCGAGGCTTTCTTTCATGGCTCCAAGGAATAAAATTGCTAAAAGGAAAAAAGAGAAAATAGATAACAGAGAAGCCATCGATTATTTGCTTGATGTTTGAACTTTTGTAGTGGTGTGATTTTTCTTCAAATGCATAATGGGTTTAATTATATAGTAGTGCTTAGCATTCGCGACGCACCCTATAAATAATTAGAATACTTAGAATTATGAGCGTAAGATTTGCTGTCAAGGATTTTGAATGTATAAATAATTTGGTGTAATAAATTTTTTTTTTAGTTAAATTGATTTTCTTTATATTATTTTGGTATCTTTGAAGTTTTTTTAAAAGAAAAATCTTTACTTACGAGTATATTAATTGACATTGCAAATTGCAAATATTGTTATGTGGAAATATCGATATAATTTGCAATGATGTACGTAATTTATATTTATAAAATATAATGATACTTCAAAATAAGGTTTATATTGATAATGATTTGTAGCTAGGTTTCTTATTTTTATTGTGACAAGAAAAACAAACATTGTAAAAAGCTAATTCTGTGCTATAAAAGTGTGCCACTACATGTCTGGATTTTTACACATTAATGTAGTGATATAGTCCATAAATTGTGTTTTAATTGTTGATATTTTACTAGTATATAGACTCGGATGGGTTTAATTCATTAGTTTTGTTATTGTTTCTTGTTAGGAGCTGGAAATAAGAGATTGGATCTGTTTTGGATGATTTTGCACGATCAGGGACTTAAATATAAAATTAAAGAAATTTTGGGGTAAAAGTGAAAATATTGCAAACTTGAGGGACCAAAGATGCAAATCATGGACTGATTCTTCTCTTCCAGCGGCTGACCTAAATTTCTATTATAAAGAGGATTCTTAATTTTGTAAAAAGAGCAGCCGTGCATAGGCCAAGACTAGCACCTCAAACCTTTTATTTCTTCCAATTTTTCTTGAATTTTCATGGAGATTAAAGCCGCCATGTTCCTGTCCATGAGTGGCTAAGGATTTTTTCTTTCTGATTCAAGGGATTTATTTAGTTATTCTATTATGAGGTTTGTTCTTAATTTATTGTTTTTGCTGATGATTTAAGTATTTGCTGATTCTTGTCTTAATTTATGAAAGTAGATCATTCGAATTGACAACTTGATTTGTTATTTACTTTCTAATGGTATCTGCTAGTTGAATGTTATATAATAGACACGAAGCGGCATTACTGAGTAGCAATGAAACATAGAATGTGTATTAGTGAGACATTGAATATGCATGTTAGTTTAAATGTGGAATCAATGAGACAAAGTCTGAATAGTTGTAACTATCTCAGTTGTTTAAATTTTGCTTCAACTATATTTCTTTGGTTTTTATGCTGTCATTGTCTGGCATAGAACGCTATCGTGCCCAGCCGGATTATGATGAGGACTGATTGAGTGCTAGGCTTAGTTAGTTAATTCAGAAAATTATTAGATTTATTACAGCTATCCTAATAGATCTTTGGTTGAATGCTTAGATTGCTTAAATAGTTTAGCAACCTATGATTGATGAAATAATTGAGTTATCCATCCCTTGAGTGACAAGCCGTCGTCACAACTAGTCAAATAAATTCACCTACTTAACACTAGTATAGCCGGAAAATAGGGTCGTATCCACAGAGAAGGAATACTAATTACCATATATAAATTACTCCTATTATTATCTATATAAATGATGATCTCAGATTTATAAAATTTAAAACTAAAATAAATAAATAAAATAAAAGCAAATAATATTAATTCAAATAATCAGACAAAGAAAACCTAGGACATTGGGTTCACCTACCGAATATTTGGTTTAGTTCAATTTATAAATATTTGACTTTTAACTTCCATTAATCTCACAACGACTCACCTAATTAAGAACTATTCACCGTCGTGATATAATTCTCTTACTCTAATTAATCCTATAACTACTGTCGTGACTATAGGAAATAACTAGAGCACATTAAGAACTTAAGAATCTAACGTTGCAAAGGTTGTGTTCCTACTGTCATGGTTCACTACCTAAGTCCAATATTCCAATGAGCTAATATTAATTTTCAACTGTCGGTCCATCAATTAATATCTTTAAACACGCAAGTAGTGGCCAGTTACAAACATGGAATAAAAGTAAGAATATTAAATATTGATCAATGGAAAAATCAAATAATAATGAACCAAATAAACCAAATAAATTTGGTGGCTACACCCAAGCCCTAGGTTAAAAGAATTTAGCCACTAAATATTATTAAAAATAATTCAATAATATTTAGAGACATAATCCTAAAATCTGAAATTAAAATAATTAAAACACCAAAAACCTGAGAGATTGCGTTTGCGCCGAAACCGAAAGCTAGAAATCAAGTCAAAGCCTGCTGCTTGCTTGGGTGGTGCTGCGTGGGGTTTTTGTGCTTCTTTTCGGTGCGTGGAGGTTGATGATGGTGCTGGTGGCTTTGAAGTTTTGTGCGGTCGCGTGGGGGTTGGCAAGGAGCAAGGTGATGGATGAAGGTGGAGAGAGGGGGTTGTTTTGATTTGAGGCTGGTGGTGTGGTCTCGGCGGTGGCTGAAGGAGGCTTCGGTGATGGAGAGTTTATGATGATGACTGATGAGCAAGGTGATGCTAATGATGGAAGCAAGGTGGAGGACTGCTGCTTCGTGGGATTGGAGCAAGGAGGGGAACTTCGGTGATGGAGAAAGCTGCCAGGAAGGTGGACTCGCGGCGGCTATGGGATGCTGGGGTGATTATGCGTGGTGATGATGGGAGGAAACAAGGTGGAGTTAATGGAGCAAGGTGGGCAGAGGTGGAGGTGATTGAGGGGGCTGCCGTTGGTGGTTTTGCTGCGGCAAGGAGGAGAAGTGGTGAGTTGCAGCGGCGGTCGTAGGGTTTCGGTCAAGTTCGGTTCTAAAAATAAATCCCTAATCCTCCTTTTATAGGGCTTCCGTCAAAACTCTATTTCTTGGAGAGGAAGAAAACTTGTTTCCCAAATAATATTGGGATTAAAATTCTTACCCAATTCCAATCCCAAATCAACCACACAACCATCGTTGTTCGGCCAATTTCCATAAACAACAATTCCAAAATTTCTTGTTTAATCCTCCAATTTTTCAAGTACTTCAATTTCTTCCTTGTCAATTTATCAAATCTTTAATTCTCCCTTTGAGTAGCTTTTATCTTCATTTTAGCCCACATTTCAACAATTCCTCCTTTTGAGTACAATTCCTACAAATAAAGATAAAATTATATAAATAGCATATTTGTACTCAAAATAGTAGCAAAATCTCGCATAAAAGGATATTAAAAATAGGTAAATTTAAAGCACATCATTGAGTCAGAAGTTTGTTAATTTGATTTCTTTTCTTTTATTTATTTTTTGTTATTTGAATTTCATTATCATAGATTTAGAACAACAATCCAAAAATCCATCTTTGCATTAATTAGAAGGAAATAATCCATCGTTCCCTGAGGAGACGACCTTACTTATCTATACTACGTAGTTTGAAGTAGGTTAATTTATTTGTGTGGCTTGACACCCCATCAAATTGGCGCCGTTGCCGGGGAACGGTGTTAATTGATTTTTTTCCTTTAAATTGTTGTTTTTTTTTTATTTTAGTTTTTTTTTTCTTTTGCAATGGGCTATTATGCACATCAATCTTGGAACCGGCAAGATGGCCATTGGAATACAAATGAGGTAAGTTTTTCATATTTTGAGCAAAAATTTTTTGAACTAACTTCTCTTGTGAAAAATATGGCTATAGGTCAACAGAAACAAGTCCAAAGATGCTGTATTTGTTTGATGACTGGTCATACTAGCGATTTTTGTCCAAAATTACCATACTACCAGTGGGAGGGTCAGAATGGCATGAGAGAATCTTGGAGACCGCCACAAGAAAGATACGAACCTCGTTCATATTCATATGATCCAGGTTGGCAAGATTATCAGAATTTTAACTATGAGTATCAGTCATCTCAGCCACAAGTGTATCATGTTCCGGAACTTCTACAGTTGATATGCTTATATTTTACCTATTTATTATATCCCTAATTTGTGATTTTTGCAATATATTTTGAGTACAAATATGCTATTTATGTGATTTTACCTTTAATTGTAGGAATTGTACTCAAATGAAGAATTGTTGAAGTTTTGAGCTAAAATCGAATTAAAAGCAACTCAATGGGAAAGAATTGAAGATTGAAGCAATTGATGGGGAGGAAATTAATGAGTTTAGAGAATTGGAGGGCCAATGATGCAATTTTGGATTGGTTAATTAAGTTTTTGGAAAATTGGCCGAAGGTTATGTTGGTTATGCGGCCGATTTGGGATTGGAATTGGATAAGAATTTTAATCCCGATATTAATTGGGAAACAAGTTTTCTTGTTCTTCAAGGAGTAGGGTTTAGCCGGAAGCCTATAAAAGGAGGATTAGGGATTTATTTTTACAACAGAACTGAACCGAAAACTGGCCGAAAACCTAACGGCTGCAAACCACTTTCACCGCCATCCACCTTCTTGTTTCCTCCTTCACCGACGGCAGCATCATCACCTTCACCGCTGCTGCACTTTCTCCGCCTTCCTTGACTCCCGCATCCACGCACCACCACACCATCCCAGCCCCAACTCCACGCAACAGCCTCCTCTGCCGCTGCAAAACACCACACCGACAGCAGCCACGCACCAGCAAACTCCCTCCTCTCCCAGCCGTCACCATCATCACCTTCTTCCTCTTCTCCACCTCTTCACCATCGACTGCCGCACCACCATTCACACAGCAGCAGCGAAGCTCCATCAACTTCCTGGTCACGCCGCACCAACGAAGCAGCAGCCGAGAAGCAAAGCGTGCACCGTCGGGGAGTTATTGGGCGTCATTCGGTTTTGAAGTTTCAAATTATTTAATTTATTTTTTTCTTTTA